GTGTACATCGTTTGACACACAAAATATTTTTGGGACTCAATTTCTACACCAAAATTCTTTAATTAATTCAAATTTTGAATTTGAATTAATTCTTTCAAACTTACTTGGTTTGTTTGTTTTTGGGAGCCTTATAATGTTGTTATCTTGTCCTAAACAAAGCATTAAGCTCCAATTTGTACATCCCACTCGCACACATGTCTTGGGTCCGCATGTTTGAGGGATGTTCGTCAGTGGATCGATCCATCTGCTAGGATTGATCATCACCGTGGTTTGTGCTCAGGGATTTGGATTGATCCATCTCCTTGGATCGATCCCCCGAAGGCTTGCGAAAATTCTCTTCTGGATTTTTGGTTCCTTTGGATCGATCCTTTTCCTTGGATCGATCCCCCGAAGCTTTGACAGAATTTCATTTTCGATCCATTACTCCAGGTGATCGATCCTCTCCCCTTGGATCGATCCCCAACGGCTTTTATCTGTCAAAATCAGCCTTCCCCACTTCCAACGGATTTATTTCTTTTTCCTCTATTTAAACACTCTTCCTTGGTTATTTTTTCTATGAAGAAACACTCCAATACTCCCCATTCTTGAGGTGTTAATCCTCCATCAATCCTTCCTCAAATTTATATTATTTTGAGAGAAAATATTTGTTTTTAAGAGAGGTTTCTTGTCATCCATTAGAGCTTTAATCTTTTCTCTTATCTACTTTTTTGAGAGCTATTGTTGAGAGGTTGAAGAAGATTGTTCTTCTTGTTGTTCAAGGCTTATGTGATTTAAGTCTTGGTTGTGAAGTCTTGTAGAGGGCATATCTACGAGCGGTTGTGTCGAGGCTTGTGGGATTCAAGTTCTCGGTTTGTAAACGGTTTGTTAAGCACCCGTAAGCTTAACGAAAGTAGTGGTAGCTTCGAGAGAGTCTCTCGGGGAACTGGACTAGCCACGAGGTGGTGAACCAGTATACATCGGTGTGTTCTTTGCCTTCTCTCTTTTATTTCCGCTGCACTTACGTTTATATTTTTAATCCTGCGAAAATTGGTAAACATTCTCAACAACTCTATTCACCCCCCCTCTAGAGTTGCACGCCTTGTCTAACAAGAATACGTCACCTCTTTTTTCCAAATTACCCTTTTAGTGCTCAAATTAACATCAACATGATAGAGGATTAAAAAGGGCTATATTTGGAAAGATACTCATAAAAGAAGGACCACCAAGATAATACTTGATAATATAGGACTAAATATAAAAAAAATTCTGTTATAAAAGACTAAGTATAAAATTTACTCATTTAAAATAATTAAAATAATTTTGAATCATGTCCTTTTGGAGTATATGTTTGACGCACTAAGATAATTTTATATCCCTAGTTAATAAACATATACTCCGTATTTATTTAGTTATAATTTTTGAAAAATCATAATTTTAAAGTAATTTAAAAAATCATGATTAATTTAAAGTTGTATCAAAGAAACACCAAAAATATTGAAAAATCACAAACTTAAAGGCATTGTTAATTCATTAGTTTAACATTTTAATAATAATGGTTTGGTTCGGGATTATAATTCTCATTTTTTGAGAACCTGTTTCGTATCATTTTAAAAACAAAACGGTTCGATTGGAATATAATTTACTATAGCCATTTGAAAAATCTTTTTTTGGTTCAGTACCATGTCGGTTCGATTAAAATAATGTCGTCAGATTGTTCAAAATCCACAAATTGTATTAAATTCATATTTTTCAACTTATACAAAAAAAACTAGAATTATTTTGTACGGAATAGTTTATAAGTTGTTCTATAACATCAATAGTTTTTTATAATATATGCTTAAATAAATATAAGTTAAGAATTGAAGGGTTCGTGAGAGCCCGGGTAGGGAGAGTTTCTATAGAGATAATCTAGAGAGAGAAAATGATAATTGATTTCGTATTGCAAATCTAAAAGAATCAGTTGGAATTCCCTCTCCACACCAGGGAGGACTATTCATAGACGAATACATATGGCGCACAAGCCCACAAATCACTTAATAACAAATAGGCCCTGGTCGGTTTAACATATTTGCTAGCCCGCCCCAACACCTAGGCTAATTACAAAACTAATCGTCCAAGTCTTTCTACCAATAGACCGATCATCATTATATAAACGAGCTCCAACCCTTCTCTTGGGCCATGGATGGCCTTAATTGTCTTTTATGCTAGGCCTGGGCTGCGAATGACCTAAGGCCTCTTCAAAGTCTCCTTGTTTGGGCCTCCACTCTCAATCTTCTATATTTTTTCCATAGACCGGATACTTACTCATACGGTATCCATCAAGAGTCATCTACTTCTTAAATATAGTGAAACGACAATCACTAGAAGTAAACATTTTTCACAAAGTCTTTAGATGGAAGAAGCCGAGGAGAGCAAGATCTCCTCAAAACTTTAAATTTCCTAAAATTTGTCAATCTCCACAACTATAACCACGGATGAGTATAAAAAGCATGGCCCTTCCCCCGCCATTTTTCATTGAGTGCAACTCCGAGAACAAGGAAAGTGGCAAGTCGATCAAGCTCATCCGCCACGCTAGTCTTCTTGAACACCCCTTACAAGCAAGGACAATATCGGATGACCTTGGCCATTGGGCCAAGTAAAACAATGACTATCTATTATACCGTATGATCTATGTATTTTCTACCAACATGATTTCCGCACCCAGAGTAGTAATTACCCCAGGTCTCCTCATAAAGATCACGTAGCCATGTAGCGCCCACGTCCTTTGGTCCATCACTTCATGATTGATGATATTCAGCTCAACGGGTTCTTCTAAATCTATAAATTCCCTCTCTTTGCTTCATTATACCTTATTTCCAATATTTTGCATTGTCACGCTTCTAGGTTGTCAACCGAATTCACTCAAATCTCTGTCATGATCTTTTTGAAGTTCGATGTGGTGTTCTTGCGCACTATCGTGAGTTTTCCATACTATTCAAATGTTCATCAATTTTTTTAGGCGAGTTTATCTTCTTTATTGGTGTTTGTTCTTTTTTTTCTTTTCTCAAATTCCTCTTCAGAATCCCCAATCTTTGTAGCCATGTTTGAAATTAGTGATTCTCAAAATCAAAATCTAGAATATGAACCCATGCTATTTGTGACTACCAATATAAGTCATCCGAGTCAACTCGAATTAACTCAGTCCTTCCTGAAATTGACACCAATGATCTACATTCTCCTAGAGAGTGTCTACACCAATGATCCGCATTCTCCTAGAGAGTGTCTAGTGAAGCCGATCTTTTGTATAAGAAAATCGAGTTTCTTTTTGGGAATGCTTGTGACCTTGGGGCTAGTACTCATCATCCTTTCCCCTTTATGTTGGGATCGCGAAAGGGAAGGCGAAAGTTCCACCATCCTAAGTTCGAACATTACTTAGACCTTCCTCGTCCAAAAAAGTTAAACCTTCTGTTACTGTACTTACATCAATTGTCATCAAGCATAGACTCTCAGGGTCTAATCCCCAATGAACGCAAGTCTAAATCCAAAGGAATGACTAAAGCAATCAAATCCATCATTGTCATCGTCCTTCTCATGTTTGAAGCCTTGGTTGTCACCTGTTAAACTACGAACATAAATATGTACAAGGTTGATAACTACTCTTAATGAGGATCATGCGATAGGCGGCTATTGTGTCAATAACATGCGGCTTAATGAGAATCATACGGGGTGTGATAATTAGAAGACGTGGAAACCCTACTAATGAGAATCATGCCGGGATCATGTGACATGCGGCTTAATAAGAATCATGTGATAGTCTTAGGTGTTAACAGAACCAATGCTTAGGTGTCAGACCCAAAATAGCATGAAAGCTACATAAACTAAACACCGTTAAATGAGGCCGACAGGGAGAACAAACCCAATGCAAATGATAGAAGCATAAGGTAGATTACAGCCCTAAAGGCACATAAATGCAATGCATACGAATATACAAACATGAAATTTTTCAAATGAAACATAAAAGTGAAATTCTTAATGAACAATGGAAAGAGCAATAGAAACTACACGAATACCTACCATTTTGATTGCAAACTGAAAGACTGCCCGACAGGAGAACACCTCTACCTGTGGGAGTGCAGTGACAACAACGATAAATTAGAATATTGGAGACATGGACAAAATTAGATATTCGATGGGTGTATACTCATCACACCTAAAATGAGAGCAAAGGAGAAACAAAAAAGGATAATAAGAAAAAAAATTATACGAGTCACTAAATAAGACTTCATTTCTATAAATTTGTACTACCTCCGTCCCACTTTGTTTGTCCACTTTTGACTTTTGGAACTGTTCATCTAAGTACTTTGACTCATCAAATTCTCTCAATGTGTAAGTCTAAATATAGTCATGTGTGATCTTGTTTGATTTGTCTTAACATATAGATTATTAATATATAATTTCTATAATTTTTTAATATATAAATTACAAGATAAAATGGATTAAAGAAGTGCATTGGATGGTGTGTAAAAATGAAAGTGGACAAATACTCTGTGACGGAGGGAGTATGTTTTATACTCCCTTTGTCCACAAATAAACTTCCCGTTGCGCGTTACGATGTTTGACAGAAGTTATTTTCAAATTATTTTATATGAAAAATGGTGTAAAATTTAAAATTAAAATTACATATTACGTAGTAAAAAACTATATCAAAATATTTACAAAACTAGAGGTGACATGACTATATTATTTTATCAAATGGTGAAAAAAATAGACCAATAAAGTAAATAAATTTTAACACTGTGAATAGTGAACGGAAAATTTATTTGTGAATGGGAGGAGTATTTCTCAAAAATTTCTTTAAAATTTACTCCGGTACTCATTATTAACCTTCACTCAAAGGGAGTCAAAGCTCTTCCACACACGTCACGCCACGTTGCATATTTTCTCTTTCCTCTTCTCCAACTCAATTCTATCAAAGCAAAACTTCCCAGCGCCTAATTTTCTCTCCCATGGCTTCTCAGGAACCGAACCGGGCTCCAATGTACCCGCAAGTGTTCGACCCGGATTTCGAAAATCCGTTCTATTCTTCGTCTTCTTCCTCCGATCGGCGTTCAATGTATCCCGTCGTGGACATGAAAGACCTGGAGAACATTTTCCCGGAGAATAATGACACTGCCCAAGGAAATCATCCACATACCCCTTCTGCCCCGCCGGAGGCCATTGAAGAAACCCTCTTGGTTGTGCCCGGCGCGATCCTTCACTTGATCGATAAACAGTATTCCGTCGAGCTTGCCACCGGAGACTTGTCCCTGCTCCGTCTCCGGCAGGGGGACAACACCGTTGCGGTCTTCGCTAGGGTCGCGGAGGAGATCCAATGGCCGTTAACCGAGGACCTTGCGTCTGTTAAGCTGGACGAATCGCATTACTTCTTCTCGTTTCAAGCTCCTAAGGAAGAAGGTGACTCCCATTCTAGTGACGATGAGAAAGGAAACACGAAGAAGAAGAAGGAGAAACACAAGAAAAAAGAAGAAAAGGGCGTGGGAAATGAGGCATTGAACTATGGACTTACAATTGCTTCCAAAGGCCAGGAGAATTTGATCAAAGATCTGGATATGATTTTGGACAGTGTCTGCAGCTTTTCTGTTCAGAGGGTGGAGGAAAAGGCATCGGTCGTTTTGGGAGGTAGGGTTGCCCAGGAGGTGTCCCCGGCGGACTTGAAGTTTGAGAAAAAGAAGGAGGTGTTGGAAGAGCGGTGTGCAGCCTATTGGACCACATTGGCACCCAATGTTGAGGATTACAGTAGCTCGGCTGCAAAATTGCTGGCTTCCGGGTCAGGGAAGCTGATAAAAGGGATTCTGTGGTGCGGGGATGTCACAGTCGATCGATTGAAATGGGGCGATGAGGTTCTGAGAAATAGGGTGACTTCTGGTTCCAATGCCGAGGTTAGTCCTCAGACCATGAAAAGGATCAAGAGGTTCGGCTTCATATGCTTTTTTCTTTCAAAAAGACTTGTCAATTCTGGTTGTCTACTTATGCTCTTTGGAGTTTCGATTTGCAATTCTATTTATCCAAGTTGCTCCAATTGCTACTGTTTAGAAAATATACAAAGGGTAAAAAGTTTTGTTGTTGTTCTTACCTGTTCCTTTGCATAATTTGAGAATGAATTAAATAGGATGTGATATCTAAACGGATACAATACAATCACCCGGTTGCTTGTATTTGTATTAAACAGAGTAGTAGGGATCATCGTTTCTAACTTATAAATCAAGAATACGACGAGTACATGTAAAGATTTGTTCATCTTATCAGTACTCTGGACTTGAAAACATGGTGTGGTTAATGTTTAATTTGATTTAAATTGCTAATATGATATTCTTTTAATTCAATTAGATTGACCTATGTGAAAGAACTAGCTCAGAATTGGTGGTACATGTCCTGCTAACACAAAAAAAAAGAAACTAGTTTTCTCAGTCTCTATGACTGAATCTTCATGTTTTGGATGTCTTAATGAGTTGGTGCAGAGTATGATTGGAGGAAAGTTGTATTGAATTTATTTTGCGGTCTTCATTTGGTTGTTTTTGCAGGGTAAAAAGGGTGACAAGTATGACAGAGAAAGTTGCTACTGGGGTGCTTTCAGGAGTTGTGAAGGTTTCAGGGTTTGTTACCGGTTCCGTTGCAAACTCCTCAGTAGGAAAGAAGTTCTTTAGCCTCTTGCCTGGGGAAATGGTACTCGCCACACTGGATGGATTCAGTATGTCAAACATTTCTGTCTTTTTTTCAAATCTTGTTTCTACGTCTTCTAATTATCACAATTCTTTCCTCTTGAGTAGTATGGTATGTTTTAGTCAATTCAATAAAGATGCTTCAATTAATTCCCTTCTGACATGTGCAGTATATTTATCCAACTACAATCGTTAGTTGTTATTCCCTGCATTCTGTTACTCTTCGTTTTTACGTTTACTTTCATGCTATGATGGACATATGCTTCTGTTGCTTGCTGTATTGATGTGATTGATATACTCACACGTTACACTTAGATGGACTTAATTCATACAAGAATAACGTATCGCGGTACCTTTGTTCATGTATCTGCATACCCTTGCCGGCGCAAGTTAGCATCATTGTGCATATGTAGTCGGGATAACTTCAATGTGCAATATTGTCTTCATAAATTTTATGGATTAGGATACCCTGCCTGTTTGGAATATTCCAACGCAAATCCTTTTAGTTCTAGGTTCCAAATCTCAAACCCGGCTTGCCACATTCCCAAGAAGCTCGGAAATGTCCAATCCCTTTCCATTTATTTATCGCTTCTTGTCATGATTGCAAAACACTACTTTACACTATTTTGGTTCAAAAAATTTGAGAACCAAAAGAAAAGAAAATGATATGGAAGACAAATTTTCATGTTTGGTTAGAGATGAAAAGAAATAAAAAGTGGAAGGAAAAGAAAATGATGAGCAAAAATAAGATAAGAAGAGGGAAAGCGGGATTTTTTCTATTTTGGCATGGAAAAGGAGAGAAATCATTTTCTTTTCCTTTTCTTCCTAATTTCTTGAACCATAGTGTTAATCAAAGCTGTCTTGTTTCTCAAACCAGTGAATTCCTAATCTAAGGATAAATAATCACTTGTTGACTTGCTGCAAACAAAAATGTAAAAACTATCAGTCATTCTTTCCATGTACGCTGGCATATTTTTTGTATGATCAGAACACATCACCTAAGGTCCTAAACAGCACAACACAAATACAGAGTACGGAGTATTTGTTAAGCTATTCAAACTTCTTAACTTTTTTGGCAATATGAATGATTAATTAAACTGCAACTCTGTTTTTTGTCAATAGGTAGAATTTGCGACGCTGTTGAAGTAGCTGGAAAAAATGTGATGTCTACATCATCAACAGTGACCACTGGACTAGTCTCTCACAGGTAAATTTCAGCACTTCCTAAAGAAAATGACACATTAAACTTTTTTTTGTTTCTTAACTTGTATGAAGTTTTCAGTAGTATTATGCAACGATACATTAAGGGTGTGTTGTGATGATTAAATGTTAGCTTAGGTGAACATTTGGGTTTTATAGGTATGGGGACGAGGCAGCAAAGGCAACAAGTGAAGGACTTGAAGCTGCAGGGCACGCGATGGGCACTGCGTGGACTGTTTTCAAAATCCGAAAAGCATTAAACCCTAAAAGCTCTCTGAAACCCACTTCTCTAGCTAAGGCTGCTGCTGCTGAGTTTAAAGCCAAGAAGAGTTCCAAGTAACTATGAACCCCCTTACGGTCCGTTTGGTACACGAAATTGACAGAATTGGAATTGAATTGGGAGTTGAAATTCTATGGAATTGATTTGGATGGAATTGAATTCTACATTTCCAATTCATTTTTGGCACTACCAATTCAAAATCCACATATTTTTATGCTACCAAACAGCAGATTTAGAATTGTTGTCCCCAATTTCAATTCCATAGTTAGAATTTCGTGTACCAAACAGAGCCTTAGGCTATTGCTATGACTTGCTTAATCTATAAATGTTCTGAACTTGTGAGCTCTTTTTTCGGGGTTTTAAGCCCTGTATAGATTGAAAGTAGAACTAGTGTAAAGGCTTGTTCATAACCTGTTTGGAACAAATTATGTCATCGTCATGAATTGAAGCACATAGTTCCATCTACTTCATTGTACATCCTGCTTGAAGTGTGAGTTTCAGAAGCTAATGTGGCTGGTTGCATCTAGCAATTGCTGATCTATATTATCTCTCATTATGATGATTGTCATGTTTGTTGAAGTCATTCGCGTGAGTTTAATCAATTGCGTTTTCTTAAAGCCACCTCAAGAACTCTTCTGGATTAGGGTTCACTACTTCCTTCCCGAATCTAAATCACTTGGATTATTATATCAGAGTTAATATCACGGAGGGTCTCTTTTGGATTGTGATTCACCTCCGACCGTTGAGGTAATTTTTTTTCAAATGATGAACTTTAATATGAAATACAATGCAGTAAAAGTCATAAATGTCATATTATCACATTTAATATGAAATAGATATGTTAAAAACTAAAAGTTATGTGTTGGATTAAGTGGGATATATATTGAAATAGACATACTTGAAATATGAGCTTTGAGTGCTTTGCTCTTCAATTCATTCTTTGGCTCAACAGCAATAGTCCTGCAACATTATTTCCTGGAATGTGGCCCCTCGGAAACACTATTAGTGGAACCACATTGATCGATTGTTTATATTACCTTCAAATGATATTTCAATCGAAGGTGGGAAATCAATAAGGGTCCGTTTGGTATACGGAATTGATGGAATTGGAATTGAATTGGAATTGAAATTCCATGTGATTCATTTTCATAGAATTGAATTTACCAATTCTAATTCATTTTTTGCACTGTCAATTTCAAATCCACATAATTTTTGTGCTACCAAACACCAGAATTGGAATTGAAGTCTTCAATTCCAATTTCATAGTTTGAATTCCGTGTACCAAACGGGGCCTAAGAGGAGTTGGAAGCATATAAGATGAGAATGTAAATAATTTACAAAACTGTAGGTACGTGAATATATATTCACTATGAGTTTGTAAGCAAATAAGATGGAAGCGTACACAATGAACAATTCATTTGTGATTACTAAGCACATAAATTATTAATGAGGATATAAGTCTTCATTGGAATTTGAGTGTAGGATGTATTCTATGAAGTTTAAATAATAACATTAAGGCAAAGGCATCACTTTTTCACACTAGCGAGGTTGAATATTGATAATAATTGGTGTTTAAACCCATCCATAATAGAGGCTATTTAATATTTGTAGGAAAGTCTTAAAATATAAAATTCAAAAAGGTGGGCATGCCTAAAGAAGTGAGTGTACGCAGAGATTACTTCATTTTTGAAAGTTCGATAGGTTGTTTTCAAGAGACCACCACCTCAAAACATAGGAGCACTATGTTAAAAGACAGTTGAATGAATAAAGCAAGAATACATACGAAAACAATGACATACGAAAATTACAAAGTTAGGCACACAAACACACACGTATAAACTACAAACTTATGCCCAAAGGTCTTCCATCTTGGTTCTAGACATCTAGACGCTCTTATCAAAGATAATATCCTCGATAAGGTTCCAAAGTTGTAAGTCTTGTATTATCACCTCTTTATAATTTTCTTAGGTCTGGATACTTCTACATAGCCCCACATCCCTTATCTTAAGCCTCTCGCACCTCTTCGCTAAAACATCCATACATCTTCTTAGTACGTGCCCAAAGCATCTTAGTCTAACTTCATGTAGCTTAGCCTCTAGTTATCCCTCTCATCCTCTTCCAAATATCCTCGTGTCAGATTTTATCCATCATCATCTGTTCACCTTAACATCTTCATATCTGCCACTCGGAGCTCTCGATAAAATTTCCTTTTTAGGTTTGTTGATATCCTTATGTCCCAAAAGATGTCTGCAACGTGTTTCCACTTCATCCAAGCGGTCCAAATAGGATGATCACTATTTATTTTCATCCAAGGTACAAAAAAATTGTCCCAATTTAGCACTGGTTGTGTATCAATCCTCACTTTCACTTTGACTCACTCATCAAACCATTGAAGAACCATTCTACGTAGGGAAAACTTCTTCAATAGGAGTAAACGAGTATGAAAATATCACAACAAAAGTGTTAGTATGTTAATACTTGAATAAAAATGTACGTTATCATTCTAAAAAAGAAACTGACTTGCTACCATCTGCCGCTGCCACACTGCCTTCTACGGTCATCACCGCCGATTGTTGTGAGGTAGCCAGAGTGTCGTCATTTGTTGTCAGTTCCCGGCATTGACCACCCTTGACTGATGATCCACCAACGGTTGACTAGTCAGCTTCTTTTTAATTTTTTAATCTATTCACACTATCATCTTCATCAATGATACTCCAAAACGAGTCTCTACAATTCCAAGGTCTTTTTACATGCCTTCTCCCGCTAGCTTACATTTTCTCATTGATCTCAAATGCTTTTCCTCTATTGACCGTTGTCGTTATTGCTACTGCACATCTCGATATTGCACAGGCAATAGGAAGGAGGCGGCGATTAAGGTCGACATTACAAGCGCAAATTATATTATATTATACAACTGGTTTTTCTATGAAGAAATGAAATTTCCATTTTGATACAATTTACAATGAAATGTACGTAAAAAGTTCATTAGTTTTCAAACGGATGGAGTAAATATAAATGCGGACAAGTGATCATGTTCTAAAGAGACGGTTAAACCCCATCAATACTCCGTGGAAAATAGATGTGCACTAAGTTTTGAAATAGGTTATGTGATTATGACCAACAGTCTATCTAAAGTCAAACACCTATATCGTGACTTGGGTCGTACTTTAACTAAAAATTTCCTCTCCGGCTGGATAATGTTTTGGAAAATTTTGAACCAAGATGAACCAAATGATCAAGGTGCGAAAAATAATTTGAATAAATCTAGATTTTGGAAAATTGTATAAATAGAAGCATAGTCTTCAAAATAAATTGTGGTGAGCTTTGAGCTTTACTTGATAACATCATATCAAACCCAACTCTTTTACACATACAGTACTCTACAAATACTCAATGGATTCAGGTATGCAAATAAATCCTTACGTAATTCATATTATTCGACTCTCCCTCTCTTACATAAATCTCGACCACTCACCACAACGGTGACTGCAACACTTTAAAAATAGTTGAAAGTAACGAAATTATTTTTTCAAATAAATAAAATGATTAAAATTTAATCATATATAAATAATTAGCGAAAGGATAGAAATCTAAAAACCACTAAAAAAATATAAAAGCTTCGAAATCAAAATGATTATGGATTGAGTCTGAATCAAGTGGAGCTTTCATCCTCATCCATTTGTAACCCAAACCCACCCATCACCCATTACATGTTTCATCTCTCTCCTGACCCATCCATCATTCAAGTATGTCATTGATATCTTATTAAATTCTCGTCCATTTAATCAGGTCAAATGGTTTGGATGTCCATCGGGTAACGATGAGGCCGTCTTCCCTAATTCAAAATGATCACGAAGGAAATAAGAATCGCCAATAGAACCAAACAGGAAGGAGACCGACGAGTCTCTAACCATTCTGCTTATTGGCAATTCCAGGACTGAACCCGGACTGTGTTCATGTCCAATCACACCCGTTTGAGAATGATACAATGTCAAGGAACAAAGTATAGAAGTGGCATTGTTACATTTCTATTGTCGTACACTTAAGAGGAAAACACAAAGATTAACCGCAATTCGCATAAAGAAATGCCAATACAGAAGATTAGAAAACAGACATACAGAACAATTTCTGCTTTCTAGATAGACTCAGTTTGAACTTAGAATACACTCACATTTTCAAACTCACCCTGCTGCGGCATAAAGAACAATGTGTAGCTAAATTCATTATCTGTAGTCCTTTTGATGAGGGCATATTTCCACCACTCCAAGAATCACTCTTTATCAAAATGCCAGTCCTTGTTTGGAAAGATGTGCAAAAGCTGAAAAGTACTTCCCAGAATTTTGAAACAATGCCTTGACAAGCATAGATATCCTATCCCAATCACTTCTTCTCATCCTCTTTAGGAGCCTTCTCCTCATCCTTCTCCTATTTACGAGGAAAAAAACATCAAAACAAAAGGTCCACTATATACTTGTACCAAACTCACAAGATTAACATTGTTATATGGATCAAACTTTGCAGGTAAACTCCAAGCAAATACACCCTTCCCCCACCTGAATGCTTGGCCTTAGCCCTTTGTCTCTTCAGCATGATTTTGGAGAAAGTGGAGAAGAGAGATGTTTGTCCCGAAAAATTAAAAATGTTGTTTGGATGGAGAGAAAAGTGAGGGAATAGAGTAGATTCATGTGGGACACGTCCCAATATAATCTCTCAAAGTGGAGAGAACATTTTGCTATAACTTCCATTTCGACTTTACAATGTTTTATCTACCTTACAATATTATATACATAAAGGGTACATCTGTCATTATAATAAGAATTAATTTTTCTTCTCTTCTATTTCTTTAAAAATTCTTTCATCTAAAGCCACCAAAATCCTGGACGGTATCTGCTTAAATTTCTTCACTCATGCATTTTCTTGCCTTTTATCCTCCCTATTTTTCTCGTTTTCAAAACAAAACATTAAATTGACTATAAATAAGGTAGACTCCAACAATCATGAGTGAAAGGCGGAAAAGTGGCCAAGTTTGATGACACAAAACACACCTAGACTTGGTTGCCAACTTAAATTTTAATTTTTTTATTCTCCTTGTTTAGTTTATTGCTATATTTATGATGGTTATCCTGAAGATAAGAAACCAATAACAAGAGATATGCTACATCCGCCCCAGACTCTCTAGAGTATCCGTCTTGTTTGACTTCTTTGAGTCAAACTAGAAAAATTTTGATCATCAAATAAATAAAAAATGTATTGTATATTAATACAAAAATTATATCATTTAATTTATCTTGTAGAAAACTTTCCAAAATTTATTTCATTGTATTAATATGTAACACAAATTTCAAGTAATTGATGATTAAAATTCATCAAGTTTGTCTCAAAAAAGTCAAAGTAGATGAATACGCAAGGATGGATGGAGCATCTATCATCTTGAAAGTTGAAACAAGCTCCTTCCATTCAATTTACTGAATATACAAAGTAATAAATTAAACCTAGATTGCCACAACTTGGGTGAGAGTGAGACAGTCTCATGGTGAAAATGACAAGAATATACTCCCTTTTACATTAAAATTTGAATTTTTTTGAAATACAATTTTTTAAACCATTAATATCCATTTTGCAAGTATTACATTTAGGACCTGCTTCACAGTGGGACCCTCTCAAAGGAGAACGCTTCAACCTTTATTCACTTAAATTTATAGCTATAATAATCGCACAAATAAATATGTGGCAGACTGACAGAAATAAAGGCAAAATAGGACATGTGCTCTTTTACATAGACTAGTAAATACTATTAACTCACCTCAGATGTACTTTGCATGGAAGCTAGTAGATCTTTAACTGATTGATCATTGGGGTCAACACCTGGAAGCTGTGTATAAGATTATGCACTTCAACCATTAGTAATATATCATTATATCAGAAGCATCTCTTTAGTTACACACAAAAAGTTTGACACTAAGAGAAGGATCATGAATGAGTAACACTCCCCCCCCCCCTCCGTAGCACAAAGTGTGGGACATGGGGTGTTGGCATGCAATATAAGAAAAAGTGGAATTGTGTGGTTGATAGTGATTAACTGATTATGTAAAGTATGAAAATTTTCAGGATGATTTTGGATCACAAAAGTATACAGAGTGTGTAGTGGGAAGGGAAAAAATGGTAAAAGGACCAAAGATAGTGGGGTGGAGGGTATAACTTAATTAATACTTACCGAAGCAAGAATAGATGACACAAAAGACTGGTCAGCCAACAACTTGCTCATGTCAGTCGGGTTTGACTGGTCTCTTGTACTGTCTTGCACAGACAATTGAAGGGCTGCAAGAATCACGAAGATGAGAATGTAAGAATAGAAACTACAGCTACAGTAAATATCACATCAATCATTAATTTTATACTTTTATGTCTTTAAGTATCCTACAGACAGCTGAAGGATGACAACGTTCTCAAATGGCAACACTTGTCATACCAATATGATAATGAAAGAATAGAAGCTACAAATACAGTAAAATATTTCATCAATGGCCAAGTTTAAACTATTCCAAAATTTCATATTTTCTCTAAAATAAGTTAAGTAGCAGACACACGCACACACACACACACACACATATATAAGAGAATGAACTTAACAAAGAGTCAAACCAAACAGTGTGAATTCAGTGGTAAAGTTAAGTTTTCCTGCTTAAAAAATTAATGTGAAGACATGTTTTTTCCTTTTACATTGCTTGAAGAAAAAAACAAGTCATATCTTTGATAAATGCCTCCCGCAACTCATTTGAAAGAAAAATGTCAATAATATGCATGGGAATTGGGAAGAAATGTGGAATTCTCATTAAGTGACATGTATAAGACCCTAGGATGACAGAATTCTAAAATACCAATATTTGCAGGCATACATGCTTCTGACCATGCATGTAATCGCATGAATCCATCAAAATACAGAATTACAGTTACCCCATATGATTTATTACCAAGTGCTAAGTCTTTATCTTCAGATGCTGCTTCTGACATGTCAGCATCTTGTATGATAATGTTAGATGAAGAGTCATCCATGGACATTGCAAGTGCTTGTTGTAGTAAGGCATTTTCATCATCCTAAAAGACATCAGAGAGAACCTGGGTGTTAAATGCAATAATTCCAGAGAATTAAAGGTCACAATCTCATACATCCTTGAGTAATTATTTGTCCACACCATAAGAGTCGCGGCTTTGTTTTCAGATTTAGAAGTCCCAGCTGCAGCATTGTCAGCCATATTCACATCTTGAGAAGCTATCTGACTTTCTCCTTTTTCTTGTTTTGCAGCTTCTTCGGCGGCCTTTTTAGCGGCAGCCTCCTGCCTTGCCCTTTCTTCTTCCATTGAAACTCGAAGTGCAAGGGCAAGCTCAGGATCAAGGTTTGGATCCACACCAAAGTCAAAGCCCGATACTCCTCCAGCTGCAGCCGCAGCAGCAGCAAATCCACTTCCACCCTCACCGTCACCAGTAAATATAGAGGTGCTGACAAATAAAGAACAGATTATTGGTTTGACAATCAATTCTAATCTTTCATCCATTGCCAATAGAGCAAAAAGAGTCATTTTTTACAATGGTTTAGTTCTAGGTTAATAATGGCCTAAATCAAAATGGAACATTAAACTTCTTCCTTTGAAATTCTATTAAGTTTTGGGCAGTAAAGGCATCAAGAGTCTGCAAGAAGCATCTTCTTTGATTTTTACAGGGATAAGGTTGCGTACTTGACCCTCATACCCCAACAAAGTTGGGATTATAGTGGATTTGTTGTTTTCAAATCTAATTTTGAATAGAGAAAATTTAAAAGAACATGTCCAGTAACCTTATTAGCACATCCGAAAGAGCATTAGGACCAGGAGGAACATGAACAATGTGACTGCTCTCATTGTTGTTTACTGCAGCAACGAGTGCTTCAAGCTTCTCAGTTTTGCTTTCATCTTCTTCACCAAAATTAACAACATCCAGAGCTACACTGTTCTTTTTTAACTTTTTCCCAATAATCTCCAACACCTTCTTGTCATATTTGACAGGACTGAAATGTTGAAACATACCCATGAGTATATTAACTACTACAGAAAGAACTATGCACAAATAATCAAATATTGAAAAAACATCACCTCCCAGCAAAAACAATAATCCTTTGTTGCTGTTTTTTGTTCTGGCGATGCTTGAGGGCCAATTGAGCCACCTGAATTCCTTCTGCAAAATTCATTTCACCACCTATTTCCAGACCTACATAAGAAATAATACAAGTTTATTTTAAGATCGTGCATAGCAACTAGAGTCCATAATGATTGGAGGGAAAACCATTGTCGCAACATAGAAACTTGTGCCCCAAAACTTTTAATGCATACAAAGTACTCAAAAGAGAATCTCAAAGCGAATGTCCTTCATTCTAGTTATTCATTAAGGTAAGTATGAATCTGTTTACATTCTCTACCCGACTGTAATAAACCTTCGGATGAAATCTATTGAACCATTACGCGCATATAACCAGTAACAAACATCACACTTACACATGAGAAAACTTATTCCCAGAAACCAGTAATTTCAGAGCTCAAGTTGATCTGAATGGAGTAATAACAATAAAAATCTAAAATGCACTTAGAAACAATCTGAAGTATGGCGTTCATTTATCAAAAAGTTTAAAGCTGTAAAGCTAACCGTGCATGCAAGCTAAGATCTTTCCGAGATCACTAGTAGGGGTGACCAAAACGCGAACACCCTTTCCAGCCATTGTCAATACCCCAACTGTATTCTCCGGATTGGCCTACACAAACACATTCACCACACACGGAAACAAGGAAACAAAAAAAAAAACTCGAACCAGTTAGTAGATCCAAATAAAAACCGAAGGGAAGCGTTAAACTTTCCTCTAAAACAAGCCATTGCGCTGAAACTACCGTATGAACAGATTAAACACAGCAAACGAAAAAAACCTGAGTTTTTGCCCCACAAATCAGATTAACGGCGTCAGCTTGAGCTTGAAATCTACTAGGAGAGTAATCTCCGTTTCGCATCCACTCCGAATTGTCGATACAGATCATCGTCGCCTGAAATGTTTTTATTTTTTTAATTAAAGAAAAAGGTAAGAAGCGATGAGATGATTGAACCCTAATTTGTGAAAGGGCAAAACCCTGGGTTGACGTTAAGTACCTCGAGCACCATGGTTACAGAAATACGATCTGGAACAGGAGGATCAAGGGATTCGAAATCCGTATATGTTTCCTCCTTCGCACGTCAGACCTCAGAAGAAATTCTCTGCCCTGCCTCTGGTAATCTGGATTCACGTAACTTTCAAGTTTCAAACAGGGATTTGCAAGTATTATCCAAAAATAAAGAATGACATGTATTGGGATCAGTTTTGATTTGATCTAGTTTCATCCTATTCCAATAAAAATACGTAATAAATAAAAAATAAATGTGAGAGAACATGACCTTACACAATTGAAAAAATATACCTAAAGAATAGAAAAATCAATGCGATACATGGGAATAACTTCTCATATTAAAAATCTAAAATCGAAAATAAAGTTCTAATCCATTTATTTTTCTTTATTAAAAAATAGATTTATTTTGAAAATTTGGTTCAAATTTTTTCATATATAAATTAAAACACTTTTATTCGAGTTTTATTTTTTTGTACATAAATATAAAAATATTAACAAATGTCAGAAATGATATTTTTTATCATTCATTTTTCTTTAGTTTTTAAATTATAAACTACATATCATAAGCATTTCTTGTATTTAGTTATATATTTTTTAGTTTTTTATATTTCTTTTTAAAATGTACTTTTTATTAATTTTCAAAAAAATAAAGGATTTTGTTACAGTTTAAAGTGTAAACTAGGTACGTATGGATTCATCCCAATTTGTATCAAAATCGATACGAAACCATCACGAATTATATCGAATTGATATTTTGAATTCGGGATCGATACAACGTAAAATCTTATATCGCACCAAAACATTTAATACAATATTAGTACGAGTTAAAAATCAAATCACATCCAATCATGCTCATCCCTAGTTTAGAACAAATAGAGATGACCATTGCACCAAATCCATCCTTTAAAAAACGAAGTAGATGGGTTTGATCTTTTTGGTAATGTGTCTAGACTAGTTGATTTTATGAAAAAATAGAGATTTTTCCTACTGCTAGTTTCGAACTCAAGACCGCCCAACCCAATCAATGCAAAACGCGTAGCATTCCACTTGTACAGCGGGTACAAGTTGATATTTGTAGCGTGTTTTAGCATATATACTAAATCTAGGTATACACTAGGAAAATTGTATATATATAAATATATACTAAAAAATTTATAATTTCCGTGGGGTCGCTTGACCCCGTGTGACCCAACGTGGGTCCGCCCCTGGCTCCATGCCTACACGCACCCACAGAGACAACTAAATAAAAAATGATAATGAAAAACATAAACTTGGATTTCAAATGTGAACATTTTTTTTTTCATTAAGGATGTGTTTGATTTGAGAGGGGAGAGAAAGAGACAAAAAGGAGAAAGGGGGTGGATTTACCTTGTTTGGCTTGTTGGAGGGGAGTGGGGAAATAATGGCTTGAGATTTCAAAGGTGCCTTGTTTGGTTGGATGGGACGGAAAGAGGAGAAAATGCTGACTCCCCTCCCCTTCAATTTTTTGAATCAAATGAGGGAAGGGGAACACTTTACCTTCCTTTCTGTCCACTCCACTCCAATCAAACACACTAAAAGTAAGATCCTCAAAATTCAGCTGAATGCAAAATAAAACTCCCTCCCTCCCAGAATTATTGTTCTAGTTTGACTTTTTTTGGTTAAACTGTGACACTCTTTGACCATAAACTGTAAAAGAAGTATATTTAGTTATACTGTAAATGTAATATAATTGGATTCATTTAAAGATGTGGTTTTGATATATCAAATTTTTATTACATTTTCTTATTTAAACTTATATTTAATTTGTGCTCAAAGAGTGTCATAGTTGACCAAAAATTCAAACTAGGACAATAATTTTGGGATGTTGGGAGTAATGATAAAAGCGGGCAAAAAAATTTCTGGATGTCCAATATAAAACTAGCTAATCTCAAATAATATAGCTTTTCCATTAACACAAAGATTCACATGTTATCATGTTTAAGAAGCACAATGGTCTATCCAGCAAAAAGAGGTTTAACAG